GGTGCTCTACCACTGAGCCATATCCCCAGCGCCCCCTGCTGGTTTTGACTATTTTCCTTAGTTTTACCAACTAAATTCTCCCTGGGAGCTATTCCTTTCACAGATGAATAGCTGCTGCTGATTTCTAGATTTCCCCTTTGGCTTCCTCTGTGCTTCCTCTTCCTTCACTGTTGATTATATCACAGAACCTGGCTGCTGTTTGGTTCTACCACCAGCTCATATTTAGGGTTTGTGGGAGATTTTGTCCCACAATGTTGACACATTGTTGAAAATGTCACCTGCACATTTTTTCCCCTTTCCTATCCTTGGGATTTTCTTGGTGGATGATATGCCACGCCATATGGATCTCACCAGCAGCTGAAAGCTGAAATTGCCTCCTTTAAAGACAGTCACCTCACTTAAGATCTGCCTCCTTCCCAGGACAGCCCTCATTTGATCACTGGTTGTGTTCATCAGCTTTCCATTGCTATGAAAAAATGCCTGAGAAAATTAACAGTAGGAAAGACTTCTTTGTCAAGGTTTTGTCCATGGTCAGTTGGCTCCATTGTTTTGGGCCTGTGGTGAGACAGAACCTAATGATAGGGAGTGAGTGGTAGAGCCAAGCTTCTTACCTCATGGCTACCAGGAATGAGAGAGAGAGAGAGAGAATATGAGGTATGAGGCTGGGGACAAGATATACCCCTCAGGGACAAGCCTCCAGTGACCTGTTTCCTCCAATTAGGCCCCACCTCCTGAAGTTTCCATCATCTCCCAGTAGTGCCACAGGCTGGTGGCCACGCCAAGCCTTCCATACGTGGCCTTTGAAGGACATTTTAGATCCAAACCACGGCAATGATTGACATAAGAATATTATGATCTGGTTTCTTCACCTCATTAGGGGACAACACTGAAGGGCCATCCACCCACCTGGTTAACTGAGGCTCTGCTGGGATTTCATCATGTTCAGATTTCTCCCTTTGCCCAATTCTGTTTTCTCCCTTTCTCTCCATGGGTATCAATCTCAAGAGTATGTCCTCTGGGCTGATCTATGTGCAGGACTCTGTTTCCCAAGGAACTCAGCTCATGGCACTCTGTTTGCTTGAAAGGGAAACAACCCCCATTTCATCTCTGACTTAATCTGGCCTTTTGCTTAAAGTGAGGTATGTGTATTCTCTCCTAGAGATGGGGGAGCATGTGTGTAACTTCAGGCATGCGTGTTACTTTACCCCTGGCCTAAAAGTCCTGTTTGCCAACCAATTCCTTTTAGAATCCATCGTGATAGCTGATTGAAAAGAAAAAAATAAACCCAACCCACAGTTTCCAAAATAAAATAGAAGCTATAGCATTTCAAATGTGCCTACAACTTCTGAGCAAGATAAAGGAATAGAAGGTGTCCAAATCCTGCCCCACTGTTTTGGCAGCTGTTTGTGCCTGCAGATGCTTGGCTGCATTTCAGGCACCCCTCTGTGACAGACCCCATTGCCACGTGAACAAAAATGGCTGTTTGGGCAATTAAAAATTCTTCCCTTTAATCAGAGGGTAGGTGCAAAGTGAATGATATCTGGACAGTACTTGGTAATGGCTTTGATGGGGAAAAAGATGCTTTCAATGAGCCTCTGTCTCTGAGTGAGATTTCAGTTTCTATCTTATACTGTAATATAAAATCACGGTAGTCTTGTTTATGGGGGAGAAACATTTCTGACTTTGGGAGACCCTGAAAGAGCACCTGCTCTATGAAGTTTTGCTCCTGTCGTCAAGTCCTCTATTTGATTTTTATATAGAACAGTTTTGAAGGATAGTAATAGCCTCTGCCATATGTTTTAATTTAATGGCAGGACTTTAGTATTCCATTTAATATGATGTTTGCTCTTAGTTTCTGAAAACAAAACACACACTCCTCTTTATCATAGTTAGGAAATGTCTTTTGTCTCTTTTTTACTTAGTGTTTTCACCAGAAATGGTTCTTGTATTATCTCTGCTTCTACATAATCTAATAATGTAGTTTTCCATTTTATTTTATCAATGTGATTAATTAGATTGATGGATTTCCTAATATTGAACTATCCTTAAAGGCATCAAATAAATTCTATATTTAGAGGTTTACTCTTAGATTCTTAATAGTTTTTGTTGCTATTGTGAATAGAATCTTATTTCCCATTTCATTTTCTAGTTGGTTATTGCCAGTATACAGGAAGGCTATTGATTTTTGTACGCTGTTCTTGTATGTGGCCACCTTGCTTATTAGTGCTAATAGTTTGTCAATTGATTTTTTTAGGCTTTTCTAAGTAAGCGATAGTGTCATCTGCAAATAATCACAATTTGCTTCTTCTTATCTAATGTTTATACCTCTTACTGCTTTCCTTCTTGAATGAAAACATCTGGCATCATTTTGAACAGTAGTAGTGATAAAGGTCACTCTTGTTTCTAACTCCAGCTGGAATGCTTCCATGTTTCATCATTAAGTATGACATTTGCCGTAGGTTTTTCCTCATTGTTTTATTTAAACAACATATATCAAATTACAGATTTTTTTTTCATAGTTTGCTGGAAGTTTTTCTTCCTTTCATATTATTAATGGGGGTTTAAATTATTAAGATAATTGTATTTTTGCTGGGTGTGGTAGCACATGCCTATAGTCTCTGTGGCTTAGGAGGCTGAGGCAGGAGGATCACAAGTTCAAGGCCAGCTTCAGCAATTTAGCAAGGCCCTAATAAGCAACTTAGCTAGACCCTGTCTCAAACTAAAAAAATAAAATAGGGCTGGGGATGTGACTCACATGTAACTAACCAAAAGAAACAAAACAAAACAAAAAAGATAATCATATTTTCATGTTGATTTCATTAGTAATAATAAATTAAATAGATATATATCTTAATGCTGAACCATCCTAACAATGTTAGGATAAAATCTTCTTTAGATTTGATGAATTATTCTTTTAACACACTGCTGGATTTAATGTTAACTTTTTTTTCTTTTTTTTTCCCAGCACTAGGAATTGAATCCAGAGCCTTGAACATGTTAGGTAAGCACTCTATCACTGAGCTACATCCTAACCTTTTGTAAAATTTTATTTTGAGACAGTCTCGCTAAGTTGTCCAGGCTGATCTTAGACTCGGCAATTCTCCTGCCTCAGCTTCCTGAGTAGCTAGGAGTTTGGGTGTGCCCCATCATACCTGTCTTTTGTTGACATTTATTGAGGATTTTTGCTTCATTGTTCATAAATAGGATCGTATATTTTTCCCATATTGCTGTTATTGTCTGGCTTTGGTTTCAGGAGGCTTGTCAGTTAATACATGTTGGATGCCTTTCCATCTTCTGACTTTCTTAAATAGTTTTTATAAGATGAGAACTCTGTATTCTTCAGAGGCTTCCTATTCTTTATTAGGCTTTGGTATTGACATTGTGCAAAATTTTTCAAAAGTTGAATTGAGGGAATTTTCAACTTCTTACATGCTTTAAAATTCACTTAAATAAATGAGGAATAATGTATTGCTTGAAGGTCAAATAGAACTAACCTATTTATAATTTTCAGCCTATTACCTTTCAAAATTGTAGCTCATTAATATCACTTCATTTTTTTTTTTTTTTTTGAGCTGAGATCTTGCTATGTTTGGTCTTGAAAACTTCTGGGCTTGAAGCTAGAGAGAAAAGAGGAAAAGAAATTGGGGAAGATCTCATGAAAATCAAAGGAAGATTTGTAGAAGAAAGGGATCAACAGGTGGGAGGCAGGGAAGTCTTGGGAGTGATGTTGGCCAAATTATATTGTTACATTGTGTCCGTGTATGAATGCATAACAACAAATCCCATCATTGTGTACAACTTTAATGGACCAATAAAAACATGTGGGGGGAAAAAAAGAAAACTGGGCTCAAATTATTCTCTTGCCTCAGCCTCCCTAGTGCTGGGATTATAGGCATATGCCACCATGACTGGCTATTAATAATATTTTTTTTTGTTTTTCTATAGTTATTGCTCTAGTTTGGTTCTCCAATTTTTCTTGGAACAGTTTTGACTGCTTTTTGTTTTCTAGAAAACCAAGAACTACCAATTGTAACTGAAATACAAACTGGTATTAGAACAGGCATGAGTTGGATGTTTATGTTTGGGCAGTGGAAATTCAGCTACAATTAAAAGCAGCTCTTGGCCTGTAACTAATAGATTATCACCTGCAATTGATTATCACCTGAATGAAAGATACATTGAGGGCAAAGCTTTGGGGGAACCATGGGAGGCAGAAGTAATTTGCAGACTGAGCAGCAGGGGTTCTTTTAACCATTCCGGACAAAGTGAAGAAAAGAGTGACAAGATCAGTACCCTGAAACTTCAGCTCAAGATGAATCTCAGACATTGACTTTATATATCTATGACACAAATGATTTATCTTGTGCAGTCATGGGGCTGGTTATAGCTGGAAATCAAATTCAAAGTTTGATATTGAGAATTGCTATAGTAAAATATCTGCTGAATTCACATTTCAGGTCTCTTATGTGAATGTTGGAGCGCTGACCAGAAAAGGAAGCATTTTAGATAGCTCAGACCCTACCTCCCTTGGCCCCCTCTTGCCAGAAGAAATGTCTCCTCTTCCCCTGCTGAGGGTGGTGGGTGACTTCTTACAATTGTAGTTAACAGGAGGAAGTACTGGGGGGTGGGGCTGGGAAAGCTTTCTGTTGACATTTTCTGGTAAATCAAGAATGCACCAGGACTGGGGCTGGGGATGTGTGCTCGCCTGGCATGCGCACGGCGCTGGGTTCCATCCTCAGCACCATATACAAATAAAGACGTTGTGTCTGCCAAAAAATAAAAAATAAATATTAAAAAATTCTCTCTCTCTAAAAAAAAAAAATGCACCAGGATCAAAGCATTTCAGATTCAATGAAGTGAGTAAATCCCATGAAAATACATCTCAGTGATATTTCTGGAGGTCCAGTGTTCTAGGCCATATCACCACGTCCCCTTCTAAGCACAAGTTAATTCATTTTACATTCTGAAAGGTATATGAAAGAAGAATAATACAAATATCATTGATTCTAAAGGACATAAGTTATTTATTGAGATGAAATCAACACAATGTAAAATTAACCATTTTAAAGTGAAAAATTCAGTGGCATTTAGTGCATTTATAAGGTTGTCATCATCCCCCCAGTTTTAATATGCCAGTGTATCCCATGATCAATGGCATATCATGGTTTTATTGACAGCATTTAAAAAAATTATTCACAGTGGAATATCAGTAGTGTACTTTACAACTGAAGACATCTTAGATTAGTTGAAATATAGTATTTGGCTGCCTTCTTGGAATTCTGAGGCAACACACCCCATATTTGGGTGTCTTATACCTGCCCATTTACCTGAAAGATAATTTCAGTTACCTGAATGGCTGCAGTTTTGAGAGGAAATCTAAGAAAAAAGTCCTCAAGTGGTCTAGGCTGCTATGTAAGCAGATATGCCAGCTGATTTCCATGACCCACACTCTAATCATGTTTAGGTCACTATTCTGATGGAACATATAGCAAACCCAAGGGAGCTGGGTGTGATGGCACAGAGACTTGGGAGCCTGAGACAGGAGGATCACAAGTTCCAGGCCAGTCTCAGCTATTTAGCGAGGTCTTCAGGAACTCAGGGAGATCCTGTCTCAAAATAAAATAAATAAATAAATAAATAAATAAAAAGGACTGGGGTTGTAGCTCAGTGGTAAAGCGTCCCTGGGTTCAATTCCTAATGTGTGTGGGGGAAGTATAGGAAGACTGCAGAAGAAGTCACTAGAATATGTGAAGAAAGCCATGTCATCTTTAGCAAATTGCTGAACTCCTTTTGAGAAACAACTTCATCTTGCTCCTGGGCCCTCACATAGACTAAATGTCCAGGGGATTACCACATGATCTTGAAACTTAACCTGTCTGTCATAACCTGAAAACTATTTGATCTGGCACAAAGTCTCTAGTGTCTTATAGCAATTTGTCATCAAGTAGAAAGGGTACAAACGAGACCAGGACCACAATGTTCTCCTTTCCTGCTTATCCCTCAACCAACCCCTATGGGCTTAAGTGACAGAGATGGTTCAAATGAACAAAAAGAGGCAAACTCAAATAACTACTTTGAGTATAAACATACAAGTAAGTTGGGGAAAAATGGAGGAAAAAGGTCTACTGTGCAAACAGTAAGCTTACAAAGTCTGGAGTGGTTATAATATCAGATAAAGTACATGTCAATATAAAGATTATTATCAGAGATAAATATGGATATTTTGTAATGATACAAAGGTCCATTCACCTGGAAAACATAACAATTATAAATGTATATTTTCCTAGTAATAGAGCTTCAAAATATGTCGAGCAAAAATGGATAAAATTTTAAAAAGAGGTAGACAATTCTACAATTATAGTTGGAGATTTTAACACCCTTCTTAGCAATCAATGGAATATTAGAAAAAAAATAATCAAGACATAAATGATATGAACTACTGTCAATCATATTGACCTAATTGACATTTATAGAACCTCATGCCAAACAATTGCAGGATACGCTTCTTTTCCCCCAAGTACATGTGCTATGTTCACTAATGGACCATATGCTAGGCCATAAAACAAGTTTCAATAAAGTTAAAAGGATTTAAATCATATGGAATAAATTCTCTGACTACAGTGGAATTAAATTAGATACCAATAATCATAAGATATCTAGAAAACTCAAATATTTGGAAATTAAGCAACATACTTCCAAATAATCATTGGCCAAAGCAATCATAAAGGAAATTAGAATGATAACAAAATTTAAAATTTGCAAGGTGCAGCTAAAGCAGTGAAATTTACAGCTTTAAATATTTATAAAGAATAAAGAATAAACTCCTTAAATTTTATAATGGAATGCTGACTTGCATCTCCAACTTTACGGTTCAATGGATTGGATAATTTTCAGTTCATGCTGGGCAGTTCCCATTAGTGTTTCATAGTCAGGCGATCAGCTTCTTCCAGAGCCCAGTTGTCAGCCAGAAGCTGGTTTTCCAAAGGTGGCAATTGTTTGCAGGTGAGATTAAGGACTTCTTCCAGAACCCTGGGTGTCTGTGCTATGATTCTCCTATTGGGTCAGAAGAAGGCAAATATTAGATCTTTGCAACAAAATACTTTCAGCATCATTGGATGTGTTCCATAACCAGGCCCAACTAGGAGCACAGCTTACATTCTAACCCAGACCTCCCATAGAGCTCCTTTGGAGCCAAGTTCCTTTCAAAACTTACCAGTCACTGGATAAAAAGGCAGAGCATGAACAAAGGTACCGTACAGCCTGCAAGCCCAAAGATACCCACCAACCTTTGCAACTCTTTCTTCATGGTGGGTGGTACAAGGTGTAGCACCCTCTCTCTTACTTTAGTACATATTTATTAAGTTAGTTTGGAAAGCAAAAGCATTCCCTTTAACAAAGAAGTTTATAAGGGAAATCAGACTAGAAGGACTGGCTCATCAAGTGAAAATACAAGATGAACAAGACAGACAAAGTTACCCATTTGTTTGTGGTGGAGAAACAGCAATTTTCTCGCATACTTATCCTATCTAAAGATCATATGTTGTCAGAAGTCAGCACTGCAAAAGTCAGGAATAAAGTTGTCTTTGTTAGGGAGTCAGTAATCAAATTGGAAACGCTTAAGTTTTCATTATCTGGGATTTAGGATGAGTCAGTATGGCACTTGGTTTTGGGTTCAAGGGCTGGGGAGTACAGGGATTGAACTCAGAGACACTCTACCACTGAACCACATCCCAGCCCTTTTTGTTTTGTTTTTGTTTTTGTTGTAGATAGACACAATATCTTTATTTAATTAATTTATTTATTTATATGTGTGCTGAGGATCAAACCCAGTGCCTCACATGAGCTACAGTCCCAGCCCGCTTTTTGTTTTTTGAGACAGGGTTTCTCTGAGTTGCTGAGGCTGGCCTTGAATTGTGATCCTCTACCCTCAGCCTCTGAAGGACCTGAGATTACAGGCCTGTACCACCTTACCAGGCAAGAGACTTTTGAATATTTTCAGCTTGGAACAACTATGAATAATACCATTCTGATGTTTTGTTTATGTCTTTGGTGAACATGAGCATTTCTCTTGAGAACTTACCCAGGAGCAGAACTGCTGTGACAGCAGGTTTATGTATATTTAACTTTAGTAAATAATGTCAAATGATGTTCCTATGTGGTCATAATAATTTAATTTCCATCAATAATATAGAGGAGTTATGCTGCACCATATCTTCACCAAAATTTTGTATTGTTAGTTTTTTTTTTTTGTTTTTTTTTTTTTACTTTAGCCATACTTGCGGGGAAAATGCAAACTACCAATATTGAAATGAAGAGGAACTAGGACAATAAATATTAAAGAAATTGAAGTGACAAAGACTGTCTTCATCTAAAAAAACAAAACAAAAAAAGTTTTGGTTTTTTAGATGAAGAGAGTGCACCACTGTGCTTGGCTAAATAGCATAATCTTGACTCTAAAATTAGATAAAGATAGTTATAAGTAAATAAAAGTATAAGTCCATTTCACTTATGAATAGGTTATTTAAAAATTCTAAATAAAATATTAGCTACCTGAAGCCAAGATGCATTGTGATCAGATGGATTTCATTCTGTGAATGTAACATCAGAAAATCTGTCAACTCACTTCATTAATAGACTAAAGGAGATAATTCATATGAATATATCAATTAATAAAAAATTTTGCCAGCTTATCACCTATTTATGACTAGAGGATAAACAATTATTAGAAAACTGAGTTGATTGTGGTAGCATACACCTGTAATCCCAGAAGCTTTGGAGGCCCAGGCAGGAGGATCACAAGTTTGAGGCCAGCTTTGGCAATGTAGTGAGACCCTATCTTGAAATAAAGAAATAAAAAGGGCTGGGTGTGGTGGTACACGCCTATAATCCTAGCAGCTCAGGAGGCTGAGGCAGGAGGATCTGAGTTCAAAGCCAGCCTCAGCAATGGTGAGGAGCTAAGCAACTCAGTGAGACCCTTTCTCGAAATAAAATACAAAATAGGGCTTGGGGATATGGTTCAGTGGCCAAGTGTCCCTGAGTTCAATCGCTGGCATAAATAAATAAATAAATACATACATACATACATACATAAATACATAAATAAAATAAAATAAAAGGACTGGCGATGTGACTCAGTGGTAAAGTGTCCCTGGGTTCAATTTCCAGTCAAAAAGAAAAGATGCAGGAAAAAAAAAAGCAAAAAGAAAGATAAACTTTAAGTACACTCCCTTTAAAATCAGGAATAAGACAAGGATGCCCACTACCACAGCTGCTGTTTGCCTATTTCTGTGACCCTGGCCAATGCTAAAAGAAGAAGAAATAAGTGTTTAGGCTTACTTCATTATTTGCAGATGACATGATGGAATCCACCCCTGCCTTAGTCGTTTCCCAAATGTTTCCCAGAGAGTCCTGGTCTCCTCACTGCGGCCCAGTCCATGCTCCACAGCCCTGCTGGGTCTGTCTTCCTTCTCTCTTTTCCTTCCTTCTTTCCTTTTATTATAAAAGAAATACACATTCATTATAAGATGCATAGAAAATACCTATAGGCAAAAGGGAGAACATATAAAGTGCCTAAATAGAAACTACCAATGGTATAATTTTGGCTTCTCTTTTCCGATTTTTTTTCTCTACATAGACACACTTATAAAAGGGAGAGAACATAAACTCTCTGAAGGCAGTAATGAAGTTTGCCTTCTTTACTGCTACATATCCAAGGCCTAGTATAGTGCCTGGCATATGAGAGTATATATGTAAATGGCATACAATAAGTACCAAACAAATATTTGTTGAATGAATTTATGAACAAAAATGAAAACACATTTCTACCAACAGCATATGCTAATGTCTATTTCATCTATATCTTGGACAAGAATGGGTATCGCAGTTATTTAAAAGTTTTACCTATCTGATAGACAACAAAATAGTACCCCTTTGTGGTTTTAAAATCTTAATTTCTTTGATTACTAGTGAGGCTTAACACTTACCCATATGTTCATTAGCTATTGTACTATTTCTACAACTTCTTCTAATGCTCTTGGCGCATTTTAAAAATTGGAACATTTGTCCTTATCTTGTTAGTGTGGAAATGTGCTCTATTACTAACCTGATAAAGTTCAAATCAGATCTCCATTACTCCATGTATGACTGCCTCCTTTTCCCCATAGTGTCTTTCTGAGGAGCTTCTCCAAATAGGGCACACTTTCACTTAAAAAAAAAAAAACAGAATTCTTTTTAAACTTTATTTACTTATTTTTTTATGTGGTGCTGAGGATGGAATCCAGTGCCTCACATGTGCTAGGCAAGGCTCTGCCACTGAGTCACAACCCCAGCCCACACACTTTCCATTTTTCAAATGAAGAAACAAGCTCTGAGAAATAGTTCAGGTTCAGAAGTTGAGACCCAATGCATCCTTAAGGAGCTTGTAGTCTTGGTGAAGAGACGGGAGGATGTCATATGGTCCTTACAGTAAAACTCAACTCCTTGCCATGGCCCACAATGCCTACCTCTGATCTCAGCTCTTCCTGTGCTCCCCCTCTCTCGAAAGACGCACCATACTGGGTATTAGTCAGGTTTCCATTGATGTGACAAAATCCTGAGGTAAACAACTTAAAGGAGGAAAAGTTCATTTTGGATCGCAGTTTCAGCCCCTGGTTGATTTGCCTTATTGATTTTGAGCCTGTGGTAGAACATTGTGGTAGGAATGGGTGATGGAGGAGGCCTTTTATCTCATGACAACCAGAAAGCAGAGAGGAGGAACAGGGAGAGACAGGGGTGCGGAAAGGGGCTAGGATCCAAATATTCCCTTCAAGGGCATGTTCCCAATGACCTAATTTCCTTCCAGTAGGTCCCACCTCCTGAAGTTTCTATCACCTTCCAATAAGGCTAGGGACAAAGACTTTACCATATGGGCCTTTGTGGGGACATTTAAGATCCAAACCATAACACCTTCTTTATCTATTTCCCTTAAAAAATAGGGCACCTTCTGTTTTAGGAAATTTGCACTTGCTTTTCTTCCTGCCTGAAACATTCCTTCTCCAGATATCGTGGCTATTTCTGTTGTTTCAATCCTAGTTCACATTTTGACTCCCTGGAGAAACATTCCCTGACCACACTATTCCATGCTATTACTCTTTTATTTCCTTCACAGCTCTTATCACGATCAAAAGTTACATAATGGATTTTATTGTTTATATTCTCTTTGCCCACAAAATAAAACCTCCACAGGAAATATTTCTATCTCATTCACCTATTGCATCCCCAAGTCCAAGAACTGTGCCTGGCACACATACTAATTTACATATTAGCATCACTGTCTTACATAATTAATTAAACAAATACTGACACAATTAATTAACTATAAGTAAGGTCAAGTGCTTAAGGCAGAGGCACAAGTCTCATTCCCAGTGCTTTACTTCTGGCTCCAAGGACCATTCCTTTACCCTGAGGGCAATTTTTGCTGCAAGACCTAGGTTCCCCCAGAAACTGGAATTCAGTAGATCCAGCCAGGAATCAGTCAGGAACAGGACAAGGTTTGTACTTCCAGGCATAGTTCTCCAGAGTTTTGGGCTTGGGCTGCAGTGGTTGTATCCCCTTCTCCTGTTCAGATGATAGGATGCAACATTTATATCTAACTTGTATAGATCCTCTAGTACTTGTGGGGATCTTTGGCAGGTCTTAGCTTATGGTCTCAATGCCTTAACAAGCCCCAATTTATGCCCCACACTAATTGCCCATGTATCCTCCATGTTGGCAGGTGATTTGCAGAGGCTGAAGCTGGGAGCTGCTTCCTCTGTCACTTCTGCTCTTCCTCAGGACCTCCTGTTTCTTTCTCCAGGGATGTCAGCAGATTTCTTCCTTTTGGGGATACTTCTTCCAGTAGCTCCCTACTTGAAGCTGTGTTTTGAGCCTCTTTGTAACTCAAAATAGTGCAGCTAGCTCCCGGACTGGGGAAGTTCCAGGAATCTGGGTTCAAGAAAAGCCCCAGAGGCCCCAAACTCAAAGCCACTTCCATCACAGGAGGTGCAAGTAAAGGTCCAGACTCCATCTTGGTAGCCACCCAGGGCTGCTTGGCCTGTCTAGTTTATCTCTTTGATGCCAAATTTAACACAGGTACACGTTAATATTTAATAAACAAAGGCAATTACTATCACTAATTCATTTAATTAAAAATGTCCCAGGCACTGAGCTGATATTTTACATGGATTATTAGTATTTCACTTAGGCGGGTATTACTACAATTTTCATTTTGTAAATTAAGAAACAGGTTAAGCCAGGCGCAGTAGCGCACGCCTGTAATCCCAGTGGCTGGGAGGCTGAGGCAGGAGGATCGCGAGTTCAAAGCCAATTTCAGCAATGGCGAGGGCTAAGCAACTCAGTGAAACCCTGCCTCTAAATAAAATACAAAATAGGGCTGGGGATGTGGCTCAGTAGTCGAGTGCCCTTGAGTTCAATCCCTGGTTACTGCTCCCGCCCCCCCCTCAAAAAAAAAAAAGGGAAGAGGAAAAAAAAAAGGAAACAGGTTAAGATAAATTGACTTCCTAACGTCACAAGGCTGTGAGCTTTTCTTTTTCTTTCCACTCCCCGAGATGCAATGGAGCAACACAGAAGGCAAAAGCCGGAAACCGGGCGGCGTACCATCTTGAGTGGGGTCGCGGGAGGACAGGACTGTGATAAACTCCGCGCGGTTAGTAGCTTTCACACTGGGTTGCTAGCCGGCTCTGTTTCCTCCAAGCACAGACCGGAAGTGTTTCTGTCGGCTGTGTTTCTAACGTGTACAACCGGAAGTTTCTGCCCGAGGCTTTGCGGTGTTAGGGGAGCGGCGCAGGGAAACGCAGCTGGCAGACCCAGGTGTGGAGGAGCAGGGGTGAGGAACAAGGAGGTGAATGAGGCTGTTACGGACACCCAAGCAACGGGACATACGCAGAACCCCGACCTGACTGGGACCGCTTTCCTTGCCGCCCTCCTCTTCACCCCGCCCCCACTCGGGTCCGGAGTGGACCCGCCCCCTGGCCTGAACGTGGTCTCTCAGGCACTGACCCTTGACCTAGGGGGTGCTCCCCCAATCTCTCAGGCGTGATGGCTACGGGTGCGGATGTACGGGATATTCTAGAACTCGGGGGTCCAGAGGGTGATGCAGCCTCCGGGACCATCAGCAAGAAAGACATTATCAACCCGGACAAGGTAACAGGTGTATCAGAAAGCATGGGGGTAATGAGGAGTGAGGGGGTGACGACGGGAGAGGTGGTGGAGTGGTACACTTCTAGTGAGATGCACGATAGAAAGGTGTGACATTATGGTACAGAGAAAGTATCATCCTCCATAAGATGGATGATGGAGAGGTGGGACACTGTGGGAGTGGAGGGGACCAAGAGAGTGGGGCACCTCCAAGAGATGAGAGGACAAAAGAGAGAAAATTATTGGGGGTGGAGACCAAGATGTTGTGTTATTAGTCTGAGAGATGGGGAGAGGATCTTCAATTTTGACATATCAAGGCTCTATTAGATGAGGGAGGAAAGGGGAATGATCTGCTCAGACTGGGTACACTCCAGAAAGTGGATTTCTGTGCCTTTAAAGTGTGTCATCATAATGTTAGTATGTGTGTAACTGTTCTTGTGATGGTTTGTTCAGGGATTGTGCTGAGCTAAAGAATTTTAGGGAAAGGAGGTCTAGGTTGTGGTTCCTTCCTTGTTTTCTTCCTCAGAAAAAGTCCAAGAAGTCCTCTGAGACACTAACCTTCAAGAGGCCTGAGGGCATGCACCGGGAAGTTTATGCCCTGCTCTACTCTGATAAGAAGCAAGTATTTGGAATCCCCAATTCCCATTCTCTGGCCCCTGACCTAACCACCATATCCCTGACTCCTGGTTTTTTTCTTCCAGTTCTCTCCTTACCTTCCCTCTTCAGTCAGGGCTCCTGCTTGCTGAGCAGGATGTGAGAGGACCTCAGATGTCTTAATCTAGGACATGACTTCCTTGCTCAAGGGTAAATCAGCTCCTAGAGCCCTTCTGATTCTAACCTTACACCTCCCTAAATCCTACTGCCAGGGATGCACCCCCACTGTTACCCAGTGACACTGGTCAGGGCTACCGCACAGTGAAAGCCAAGTTGGGCTCCAAGAAGGTGCGACCCTGGAAGTGGATGCCATTCACTAACCCAGCCCGAAAGGATGGAGCTATGTTTTTCCACTGGCGACGGGCAGCAGAGGAAGGCAAGGACTACCCTTTCGCCAGGTTCAATAAGGTGAGCTACACCATTTGGACACAGGCCGATGCTGCCCACCTACTCTGAGCCATATGTATGAGCTCTCTTGTCTCCTAGGGTTGGCTCTAGATGTATGCTTGGTCCAGCCATGGTTACCCACTCAGTCCTCATGTCAAATAAATGCTAAATGGGATTCTATAGGTCTTTTCTGCCCATGAGATCCTATCCTTCCCTGAAACAACTTTGTTTCTTGGTGACTTCTCTTAGCCTTTCAAATCCTTCTGTTTCTCAGAGCTGTAGCCTACATGTTTTTTTCACTCTGTGTTTTCTCTGTAGTGTGTCTATAGATGTCACTTACTGACAGATCTTTCAGAATGCCCCATAGGTACATCACATCAAATTGGTACCCCTGAGCAAAACTCATTTCCATTTTCTGCCCCCAAATCCGTTCCCCATCTCACTGAATGGCACTAGTATCCACCCACTTGGGAATCATACTTGACAGCCTTCTCCCTTAGGTCTCAACAGCAGGACAAAGAGATAGCACGAGAAGGCAGTTAACAATCATCTAAGGAAATAAAATAAGTTGGATTCTTTCAGTTAAAAGAATCCAACTTATTTTATATCACATCAATAAAATGAAACCAGGATATAAATGAATATGAAATGAGATGCAGAATGAACATCTAGGTGTAGGGGAGGCCTACTTTTAGATAGGGTGGTCATGGAGGGCCTCTCTGAGAAGGTGACATTTAAACTAGACTGTTGTGATACATCATCGAGTCCTGCTGATTGTTTCCACAGTAAATCATATTTCTGCCTATATTCTCCATCCTCTCTGCCAGCATTCTAATCCAAATTGAATTATCTCTGGTTTGAATAATTAAGATTCAGCCAGAGCAGGACCTTATCCAGACTTACCCAGCCAGTAAGAGGTAGAGCTAGACTAGATTGGAATTCCTGTCCAAGACTTAGCCACTGTACAATGAGGCCTCACAGGTGTTCTTGCTTGGAACACCCTTTCCTCTCAGTCCAGTATATCCAACTGTACTTGGACACCTTCCCCTGGATGGCTCACAGATTTCTCAGACTGAGCATGGCCACATGTGAATCCATCACTCCCCACATCCCAAACCAGGTTTTCCTCCATTTCATCATCATCCCTAAGCCAGTGAAGGAGAGACAGGAGATATAAGGCTGGGGAGGAACAGCCATAAGGCAAGGCCTCTGACAGAGTGGGAGGGAGGTGGGATGAGACAGGTTGAGGTGAAGACAAAATAATGTTCACTTTGTGTTTAGTAAATACTGCACCATGCCAAGTTGAGGTCTAACAATTGAGGGCACAAAAATGCAGTGGCATAAGCCTGTAATCCCAACCGCTCCGGGAGGCTGTGACAGGAGAATCAAGAGTTTAAGGCCAGCCTCAGCCATGGTGAGGCGCTAAACAACTCAGTGAGACCCTGTCTCTAAATAAAATACAAAATAGGGCTGGGGATGTGGCTCAGTGGTCAAGTGCCCGTGAGTTCAATCCCTGGTACCAAACAAACAAACAAAAACCTCATATTGTTAGGATGGTGGGGGTAGGGGTAGAGGCAATCACAATCTGGTGGGATACATGCAATATTGGGAGGGCCTGATGATCATGGAAGTTTTCTGGAGTTGTTAAAGAGTCTGAGTTTTCATGAAGGATGTCACCAGGTGGTATTAGGAAAGGCATGTAATAATTTTTTTGGGCAAAGGGAATAGCATGAGCAAAACCATAAAAGATCAATTTAAAAAATTGTCGATGGTCTTTATTTTATTGATTTATTTGTTTATATGCAGTGTTGAGAATTGAACCCAGTGCCTCACACATGCAAGTCAAGCACTCTACCACTGAGCCACAACCCCAGCCCCATAAAATGATAATTTTAAAGGGTCATGTGTATGGGATACTGTGGGCATTTCCATGCTGATGAATCCTAAAACCCAAGGTGGGGCATGGTGGGAGATGCCAAAAACCCAAGGTGGGGCATGGTGGGAGATGCCACCCAAGCAGTGAATAGCATCCAGGTCAGGTAAGGCCTTGGCATCCAGGCTCAAGAATTTGGCTTTACTCTGGTGTCATTGGGTAAACATGGACAGATTTTAAGCAGAACAGTGTCAAGATCAGATTTGAGTTTTGGGTGACTACAGGGCCAGAGAATGAAGCCAGAGTTAAATGAATTAATGATCTTCTCCAGTAATCCTTCTCACCATGGATCCCATCTCACTCAGTGGCTCCCTGTCCACTCCCTTGCTTAGGCCAGAAACCTGGGTGGCATCTCCCTGGTCCTACACGCTCAAGCCCTGTGGTTTCTATCTCCTGAAGCCTCTTGATCTGCGCCCTTCTCACTGCTTTCCTGAAGCAGCTCAGGCCTTTCTACCTCCCACCTGCATTACAGCTGGTCCCTAGACTCTTGTTTATCCTCTCTGTCCTCACTGCTGTTGGGGTGATCTTTGATAGAAGAACTATGACCTTTTGTTTTCCTTAAAACTAACTCTGCTGGTTCCTATCACCTTCAGGACAATTTTAGACTCTGTAGCAGGGCTTGTAGCTGGCTTCTGCTAATTTGCCAGGCTCTTTTTGCATCTCTCCATTTCGGCATTTGTTTCCCAACATGTTCTCTCTGTCAGGCCCATGCACATTATGCTGTTTTTCTCTGTATTGCCCACTCTACTTAGGATTCTTTTCCCATTTCCCCTTACTAGTTCACTTCTTTTTAACTTTTTTTTTTTTTTTTTTTTTGTGATACTAGTGATTGAGCCCAGCAGCACTCAGCCATTGAGCTACATCTTCATCCTTTTTTTTCCTTAGATAAATATCCCAGCCATATGTGTGTGTGTGTATTTATTTATATTTATATATATATATATACATATATATATATATACACACATATATACATGTATATATATATATATATATTTTTATGTATTTATTTTTATGTGGTGCTGAGACTTGAACCCAGGGCCTCACATCTGCAAGGCAAGAGCTCTACCACTGAGCTATAGCCCCAGCCCAATCCCCAGCCCTTTTTATTTTTTATTTTAAGACAAGGTTTCACTAAGATGCCAAGGCTGTCCTCAAACTGGTGATCCTCCTGCCTTAGCTTCCCAAGTCATTGGGATTATAGGCATGTGCCACTAAGCTCAGCTCTAATTAATATCTTTTTTTTTTTTTTTCTTACAGTACTGGGGATTATACCCAGGGGAACAACCAGTGAACCACATTCCCAGTACCCCCAACCTTTTTAAAAAATTTCAAGGCAGGGTCTTGCTAAGTTGCCCAAGCTGACCTTGCATTTTCAGTCCTCCTGCCTCAGCCTCCTGAATTTCTGGTATCAGGTGTGCACCATTATTCCTGGCACACTTTTACTTAACCTTAAACGAGCCCTGATTTATCTCTTCTCTGTCCAACTCTTGTCCCCATGTTGGACCCAGTGTCCCTTATTAGCACAGTAGGCATTCCTTTGTCTTCAGATTCACCACTACTAAAATAATTTTTTTTTTTTCAGCTCAACTCTGAGCTCTGAGAGGTGAAGACCACTTCACCTCATATTCTTATTTAACACTATGTTTCTGACATAGGTGAGACAGGCCCATGATATTTGTTGAATGAATACATAAATGGTATACCTTACTTCACTGTGAGTGCCTCAAGAACAGGATTGGCTATGCTGTTACTATGTTTTTAGGCTTTTTAAAATTAAATGCACAGAAGGGATACATAATCAAGCCTGGGAAACCAGAGAGCCTCCAGAGAAGATAATGCCTGAAGGAGATTAAAAGGATGAAAATATTACAGGCAGAAGAAATGTGGAAGTGAAAAGGCATATCAGCCAATAACAAAGGCAGAGGGGAAGGATCTGCTATGTTCCAGAAACTGCTGGTCATTTGGCTGGAACTTAGGGTCTGTGAAGGACAGGTCATTCACTCATGTGTTCATTGACTGATTCAGTAGATATTCACTGGTACCTAATGGTGGAAATTAACTAAATAATCCTTGCTCTTGAGGGGTTTGTAAATTGAAGAAACTTTCTTTTTTACTAAAAGCACCTCAGTTTTGCTGAGGCTAGTTTTGGACTTGTAATCCTCCTGCCTCAGTCTCCCAAGATCTTGGGATTATAGGCATGTTGCCACTGTGCCTAGCCCTTTTTTTATCTTTATTTTTTGGTACCAGGGATTTATCCAGGGGTGCTTAACTACTGAGCCATATCCCCAACCCTTTTTTATTTTTTTGAGGTGGGGAGTACTAGGGATTGAACTCAGGAGCAGTCAACCACTGAGCCACATCCCCAGTCCTATTTTATGTTTTATTTAGAGACAGGGTTCTCACTGAGTTGCTCAGCACTTCACTTTTGTTGAGGCTGACTTTGAACTTGTGATCTCCCTGCCTCAGTCTTCTGAGCTGCTGGGATTATAGGCATGTGCCACTGCATCCAGCCCTTTTTTGTTTTTGAGACAGGTTTTACTGAGATGCTTAGGACCTTGCTAAGTTTCTGAGGCTGGCTTTGAACTTGTGATCCTCCTGCCTCAGCCTCCCCAGCCACTGGGATTACAGGCATGTGCCACTGTGCTCAGCTGAAGGCACTTTATTTTGAAGGTGGGAGGCTTAGTGTGTAATGTGGTAAGATCCATTGTTCTAGAACCATGCATCTCAAATTATCTGTGGTGAAGGACATATTTCTGTTTTATTTTCAATCCATCAAAGACTGATAAAGATAAAAAAGATAATACAAGTTTCTTCATATTAAATTAACCAGCCCAGTTAGGTTTTCCGTGTTTCTGCTCAGTTGCTATTTTCACCGTAGACTAGAGAGGACTATACTGCCCTTTCAGTAGCACTGTTCACAAAAGTCAATTTTGACTGCAGAGGGAGAGTTGATTGGCAGAGGTTTGAACGGGGATAAAGAGAGATCAATGGAAAGCTATTTTTCTGAGCCAGACAAGTGATGGTGCTGGCCTGTCCCAGGAGCCAGACAAGTGATGGTGCTGGCCTATCCCAGGATGTGGCAGTGGAGATAGAGAGGGATTTTGGAGGCAAAGCCACAGATTTAATAAGAGGTAGAAATTTAAAGATGCCGGCCAGGTTTCTGGCTTGGGCAACTGGATTGGATGAGGGGGACACTGACTTAGGCCTGGATTAGTGATGTCAGTTTGAGAGGGGTGATGAGTTAGTACTGAGCATGTTAAGTTGAATCCAGAGGAACAGCATGAAACCTCCAATAGGAAGTGTCCCAGAGGCAATTGGAGACAACTGTGTTGTTAATTAAGCAAAAGAAAAACTTCCCCAGTCCAGTCTAGCATTGAGTCAGTCCTTGAGTCTCTGACTGAGAAACTCAGCTTGTGCTGGTACTATTTGTCTCTAGAGGAGACGTGAGGAGTGGGGTGTGGGATGGTGGACCAAGGGGCAGTTGCAGAGTTGTATATATTGGGACTAGGTTCAGGCCCTGTCTCTAGATGCTTGACTTTGGAGAACTCAGGGGAGCGGCAGATCCCACTATCACCACTTGGTGGCAATAGTGCTTCAGACAAAGTTGCATGGCCATTTCTCAGTCTGATGGGTGTATTTAGCCATCTGCCTGGCTCCAGAGTTAACCTTTGGACTCCACGGAAGTGCTTACAAGTGGTCCCCTCACCTTTACTATGGGGGCAGGAGCAGTATCCTGTTACCAGGCTCTGAAGCTGAAGACGGTGAAGCTGCTTTTAGAGTACATCAACAGGCCACAGCCCAGAGGCTGCTATGGTTCTAGTCAAGCAGATAGGTGCTTTCCTCACTCTAGGCTGGCCTCTGCCAGGGGCACAGACAGAGGATTTGCCCTGGTCCCCCTCAGAGACTATCAGTAAACAGGAAGGGCTCTGATGATGGGGCTGGAGCCTGCTGGATACGACCTGATGTGGGTATTTTTCCACTGTCCCTCTGTGTCAGTAGACTGTGCAGGTGCCTGTGTATTCAGAGCAGGAGTACCAGCTCTATCTCCATGATGATGCTTGGACTAAGGCAGAAACTGACCACCTCTTTGACCTAAGCCGCCGTTTTGACCTGCGTTTTGTAGTTATCCACGACCGGTATGACCACCAGCAGTTCAAGGTGAGTTGGTATAAGCATGTGCTTGTGTGCCCACCCCTGGGCCTACGCTTCCTTCATGCTCAATTATCCCCCTGTGTATCTTGGTTTTCAGAAGCGTTCTGTGGAGGACCTGAAGGAGCGGTACTACCACATCTGTGCTAAGCTTGCCAATGTACGGGCTGTGCCAGGCACAGACCTCAAGATACCAGTATTTGATGCTGGGCATGAACGACGGCGGAAGGAACAGCTGGAGCGTCTCTACAACCGGACCCCAGAGCAGGTCAGCTGTGAGCCCCACTGCCTCTCCTCTAAGCCCTACACCCCTTGCTCATTGCCTCCATCCTGTAAACTCTTACCACCCTCACCCCCAGTTTTCCACCTCCAGCCCATTCCTGCTGCTTCCTAGACATCTCCCTGCTCTCCTTCACTTCCATCTAGTCCCTTCCCTCTGAGATAATCCAGCACCCTTCGCCTCCCCGTCCACTCATTCTCCAGATTGCCCTCACACGCTTTTCAGCATCTCTTCTCCCTTTTCTAGGTGGCAGAGGAGGAGTACCTGCTACAGGAGCTGCGCAAGATTGAGGCCCGGAAGAAGGAACGGGAGAAACGCAGCCAGGACCTACAGAAGCTGATCACAGCAGCGGACACCACTGCAGAACAGCGACGCACTGAACGCAAGGCCCCCAAGAAGAAGCTACCCCAGAAAAAGGAGGCCGAGAAGCCGGTGTGGAGCCTGAACCAGCCCAGCTTGGGGTGGAGGGGTCCTGCGCCAAGTGGCCCCACTCAAGTGGGGAGCTCTGAGAGCACACAGAGCTGGTGGGGTGCTGGGAATGACTCTGGGCTCATTCCCCCCGTGACACCTTGGTCTTCATAACTCCTTCCCCAGGCTGTTCCTGAGACTGCAGGGATCAAGTTTCCAGACTTCAAGTCTGCAGGGGTCACACTGCGAAGCCAGAGGGTATGTGAGTTATCTCCTTTAGTTTGTCTGGGCTCTGGGTTCCTGTTGGCCTGAGTGCTGCAGCCAGTAAGAAGGGTGGCTGTAGATAGAGATGGCCTCATCAGGATCACAGAGGGATGTAGGCAGTCTAAGGTCAGAGCTTTCACTATATTCCACTTCTAGGCTGTTTCCTTCTCTGGCCCATAGCTACCTCCAGGAGGCACCTTCCCCCCAACCCCACTATCTTTGGGTCCTTTCAACCCCTAAACCTCTTGTTGGGCAGAGGGCTTAGCTGCCTGGGTCATTGCAGATGAAGCTGCCCAGCTCTGTGGGTCAGAAGAAGATCAAGGCCCTGGAACAGATGTTGCTGGAGCTTGGTGTGGGTGAGTGTGGTACTGAGCCCCACAGGACCTACCCACTGGAGGCTGTGGATGAAGGCTGGACAGGGGGTGGGCAGTTTGTTACAGGCCTTTAGCTACAGTCTGGCTCTGCTTTGCCTGCAGAGCTGAGCCCCACCCCCACGGAGGAGCTGGTACATATGTTCAATGAGCTGCGCAGTGACCTGGTGTTGCTCTATGAGCTCAAGCAGGCCTGCGCCAACTGCGAGTATGAGCTACAGATGCTGCGGCACCGGCATGAGGCACTGGCCCGGGCAGGCGTGCTGGGGGGCCCCACCACACCAGCAGTGGGGCCAGTCCCAGCCTCTGCTGAGTCAGCAGTGTCTGAACCTGGACTTGGCCCTGACCCCACTAAGGACACCATCATTGATGTGGTGGGTGCACCTCTCACACCCAATTCGGTAAGAGCCTGGATGGGCTGGGGGAATGTGCCCTGACCCTATTCCCTCTAGTGCCTGCAGGGGAACTATTGCCTCTTTGAGGGTCTATGGCGGAGGGCAGGAGTGGGTTGACTGGTGGGCATTATCTTCCCCGAGAGTGAAACACACACCAGGCCTTGGGGACAACTGACCTCAGCACCTCCTGTGTCTCCTCAGAGGAAGCGACGGGAATCGGCCTCCAGCTCATCTTCTGTGAAGAAAGCCAAGAAGCCGTGAGAGGCCACCCGGAGTGTGGGTGGTGCTGTGGTGTAAATAGAGCTGCTAACTTAGACTGGGCTGCCTCTGCCTCCTTTCCTGCATTTCTGATGCCCCTGGCTGGGAGGGTTAGCCAGGCAGGGGCTCAGCACTGCCACTTCTCAAAGGTAGTAGTGTTTGCCTATGCTCAGGTCTTTGGTGGCTTCCTTGGCCTCTAACCCCCTGACAACTGCCCCACACCCCTGCACCTTGAACACCTGTGGTCTTACACTCAAGATGGCCTCACACACAGCAGTGGCTTCAAATACCAGCAGCTTTGAATACAGCCTTATGCTCGGACAGTCTTCACACCCCAAGGCCTGTTTATCTTCAGTGAGGGTATTACAGGGGCTGCAGTGACTGTTGGCTGTACACACCAGTGGCCTTGGGTAGAGGCAGCCCAGAGAATGCTCCAACTGGTTCCCATCCTGACAGCACTAGCATAGCTGTAGCCTTACAAAGATGGCTGCACACACACCCAAAGCCTTGTTTCCCCGACTTTATTCAGTGGCACGTTCACAGCGGGGATGGGGGTAGACACAAGGTGGGGCCTGATCTGTCCTGGAGCCCTGGGGGCACCACACACCATGCACTATGATGGGAAGGGGGACAGGGAAGCTTGGTGGCCCCAGCAGTAGCCTGTGTGCCAGGGAGGAGGCGGCGGCGAGTGCCTGGGTCCCCCAGCCCAGGCCCACAATGGGAAGGGCTAATACTGGGCTGAGACTGAGGGATGGGGGTGGGGGTGGGCACAAAGTGTCTGCTCCAGAGAGGCCAAGCGGCCAAGCGCTTACCCAAGGCACAAGCCTACAGGGCAGCTGGGGGACACTCTGGGCGCAGGACTGTGCCACTCTCCCTTTTCCCCTCTGGTGAGGGAGAGGATGATTCTGGGCTGGGCCAAGCAGCTACCCTGTCCTGCCCCATCCCGTCCTCGGCCAATCAGAACGGCTTCGACGTCTGCTTGAAGATGAAGCCTCGATATGCGAGTGTCTTCATGATGTTGGCGATGTTCTTGCAGTCATCTGTAGGGAGGAACAGAAAGCATTTAAGTGGGCCCTACATCCTTCCTCTTCATGCCCACAGGTGCATGCGCAGGGTGGGAATGAGAAGCAGGGTTAGGTTCAAGAGCCATGGGCTCTAGAGGTCCCTGGCCTTGGTGGCAGCATCTCTGGCTTCAGGTTAGACTGGATGACACTGGGCCAGCAGGAAGCCTGGTCTTGAGGCTTTTCAGCCCCATAATTCATGCTGGAAATTGGCCGGCATGTCCTGTCCCGGCCCCGGCGGTGATGTATGGGCGCCGTCGCAGTAAGAAAAAGGCAGAGTAAATGTGTAATTTCTCCCTTGACGGCCCCCGGCCGCTGGGCGATCCTTCTTGTTGCTGCCGCGTGGGGACGGCCCGTCCGCCACACTCCGTCTTCCCGCCACCCGCCTTGATGTCTCCATTTCATTACTGTGTGGCCATTCATCACGCCCATGGCCAGGGTGACTTTGCCGGCACTTGCATATGTGGGAGATGTGGCCCAGGCCATAATCACTGGTGACAAGACACAAGGCTCAGCACTCCTGGGCCAGGGCCCTGGGAGTCACACCTGCTCTGGATACCTGTCTCTGTGTGGTCTTGGATAGGCTAGGGAGAGCCCAGATTTATGGCCTCTTTCAGTCCTGGCCATCTGCTAGACTCATGTATGTCAGCCCATTGCCTCGCCTGTCCTAGTAGGATCAAAGCCGGGTGCTGGTCACTTTCTTAGGCCCTTCCTCTGCCCACACCCCAGATTAAATGTCTGCTTGTGCCAGACCCTATCACAATTTCTCCACTATGGGTCTCTTGTGTAAAACTTGATGCTCTGGACACCCTGGAGGTCATATGCAGGAATGCTGGGCCTTGGGATCATGGACATAGGTCAGGACTTACTCCACGACTGCCAGCAGGAGGGGCAGCTGCCCAGAGCAGTCACCAGCTGCTATGCTGTCACCTGCCTCTCCTCTCACTCCTTTCCCATCTCCCATGCTCCTGGGGCATGACCAGGGCCTCAGCCGCCACCAGCCCTGAGGGGATCAATGCTGTGATTGCAGAAATATTGTACATCGATGTCATCATCAAGTATGGGGGGTTGGTAAGGTCAAGGTAGGGTCAGGAAGCCTCTGCATTTGTCAAGGACTGTCCCTTCCACTGGTCTCCAGACTGTTCCTTGCCAGGACCTCAACCTAGAAAAGGCAACCCTCTGCCTTAGAGCTAGGAAAAGGCTGTGGGTTGGAGAAGAGTGTCTGGTCAGCCCAGGGCCTGTCACTAGCCAGTCACCAGTTCAGCAGATCCTGCTTGGGGCAGGCAAATCACAGTCCTGTCTTGCAGAGGTCAACATGCATGTACCTGTGGTAGATACAGGTGTAGAGATGTGACACCTTGTTCCCCAGGGGCTCAGGCAGCCATGAGGGCTGGTCTAAGGCAGAATGGTGGGAAGACAGATGGGTGGGTAGTGGCGGCCATGGCAACTCCAGACGTGACCCATCCCCGTGGTTTATGGGCCGGACACGCACCCGGCTCAGCTGAGGCCCTGTCATTTGTCTCCCTTAGTGTGTATGCCTGGGCTATTGGGTGTACAGGGTGGAGGAGGGAGGGAGCTGTGACAGGAGGAGCAGGCAGTTGACAGGGGAATAAGACAAGAAGGGGCTTGGGAGGAGGAGGGGTTATGGTGGGGTCTAGGGTCTGTGATGGCACTGTTGGAGGGGTTGATAGGGTGATTTTCTTCCCAAATAAGCCTTGCTGTTGGGCACCTCCAATCCTTCCTGTCTCTTGCACTCTGGGGACTGTGGCTGCTGTGCATATTAAGAATAAGTCCCCTCGTTATCTGCAATTACCCAGCGGCCACACACCTCATTTCTTCCAGCAGAAAAGAAAATTAGTTTTCTATTGACTTCATCTAGCTCCTCCCTCATCACTGGACAAATCGCTCAATCTGCCTCCCTTGGCCCAAGTGACTGTCCCGGCCCAGACCCCGAGGCCACCAGTCATCCAATGGGCAAGCACTGATCTCCTACCTGTGTGGGAAAGGGTCGCATGCCTCAGTCTCTGCCCTTGACTGTCCCATGCTGCACAATGGATGACTTCACCCAAATCCTAAGCTTAGGCTGCCCTGAAGGTGACCCTCACCAGTCTCACCCCCCCCCCCTGAGCTCCACACCATAAATTCCAATGTCTTTTGAACATTTCCTTCTAAATAAAGGCACAAAATGCTCCCATAATGAACATGTTTTCTCCCAAGCTTCTGCTTGCCTTGTGTTCTCCACACCAGAGAAGGGCATCATAATTCATTCAAATACCCAAAGAAACCTGAGGCAGGCTTCACACTCTGCCCTCTCCATGATCCCCAAATCTAGTCAAGTAAGAACCTCTGAAGATGTGATCCCCTTATTCTCTAATCACTACTTCCCATGAGCAGCAGCCACCCCTGAGTCCAGACCTCATCACCTTTCACTTGGATTACTACTACAGCCTTTTCTCTCTCCTCCCTGTAATTCATCCCATTGTAGCCAAAGCAAACTTTCTTCCACAAATCTGGCCAGGTCCTTCCTTCTTTAAATCCCTTGGTGGCTCTCCCTGCCCTCTGTTCAAATGTGACTGTTCTTTAATGTGACTCAAAGCTTCAGCAAAACCTGATCCCTGTTATACCTCTGTCACCCTCGACTCCTGATCCCTGTACTCCAATCTCAAGGAACCACTTACTATTTGCTGAAAATGACAAAGTGCACTGTGGAATTAGACAAAGCTCTTCCAGTTTTAATTTCTCCCACCAGTTGCATGACATGTGGCAAGGGCTTCGTTCATTTCTCTAAGCTCCAATGGCCTTAGCATCACTGTGAGCAAGGAACAGGTGCTCCATCCTGCATTTTTGTATAAGCCATTGTTTACACTCAGCCTTGTCTCTTCCTGGAGGATGCTAGCTTTCTGGATGACCCAGTATGAGAAAATGTACGCTGTACAATCTGTGGCATAGATGGAAGACTGGGCTGGTACATTGATGAAATCAATTGTCACATACCACGGGCTAACTACTTATTCTGTTTACAGGGGATTCTGGATTATAATGTGTTGCAACTTGTTCACTATGATATAGGCCCAGAAAGAGGAAAGAGCTTGCACCAATTCACTTCTCAAATCAGTGGAATGGCAGTTACAGGCTTCAGCCCAGGGCTCTTCTTTCCTAGGAGTGTAATAAGAGTCAATGCAAACTACTCTTTAGTTAAAAAACAGAAGTCAACTGGCACAATTGGAAGATAACATGGCAGAAGACGTACCAGACACAGATCTGGGGCTTTTAATAGGCTAAAAGTGCAGAGAGAAACAGCAGCAGTGCCAGCCTAGCGACAGCATCACCTCTTGGAGTCCTCTCCTTGAAGCTCCTGGGCCATGTGAACAGCCTTGTGCCTTCTAGCACCTCTCACTTAGCTAATGAGGCCCACCTGATGCTGCTGTGGCATGGGGTGGTGGGGGCACAGCCTTGTGCCCACAATGGAGACTATAATAGAGTAGGTCTTCTCTGCAATGTCACATTCTAGAAGACTAGCCTGTTTATGTCCCTGCAGGGTCATCAACTTGAGATACGATGACTTTTTCTTTCTGGGGATGCATGCACACTCACACTGGGGAATGAACTCGGGTGCTTTACCACTGAGCTATATCCCCAATCTTTTTTTAGGTTTTGAAACAGGGTCTTGCTAAGTTGCCCAGGCTGGCCTTAAACTTGTGATCCTCCTGTCTCTGATTCCTGACTTTCTGGGATTACAGGTGTGTGCTATCACACCCAGCTGAGACATAAAATATTCTTAATGTTAGAAGTATTCTTATATTGCCAAGACCATTTATCACTGCACAAATCCCTCAGAGAGGAGATGAAGAGGGCTAGAATCTAACAAGGGATAAGCTTGTTGGCTAGGCCCCAAGAATAGTCAAATATCTGCTTGGCAAAGGAGCTGATATAGTGGAAGGGTGGCTCAGACCACTTAGAACACCTAGTGGGAGTTCATATAGAGCTAACAACCTGAGGCTGGCATGCTCTAGTTGGCTGCACTTGCCTGGGAACTGAAGAGCACAAGAAGCAGCCTGGGCCAGGAAGACCCTCAGAGGAAAGGGGTCTGAGAAACCCTTGGGGAGCCATCCATTCACATATTGAATTCATTCAGCAAACATGCACTGACATGTGTACCCAGCACAGGTGGGCTGTGTGGTCTGAGGGATGTGCAAGATTCTGCAGCTCTCTGTCCTCATGGAGCTCAGAGACAGCCTTGCAAGTGGTGCAAGAAAAGGAGAAAAGTCATCTAGAAAAACTAGATGACATAGAAAAGTCATCTAGAAAAACTAGATGACATAGAAAAGTCATCTAGTTCTCCTTGATCCTCAGAAATGGATTCCTGGAAAAACAAAGCTAAGAAGAGGTCTTAGGGGATGTGGGAGGAGCTACCTGGGCAAGTTGGGGTTAATGTGAGAAAGGTATTCTCAGCATAATGCACAGTACAGGCACATTTCTGGAGGTGAAATATCAGGTGTCCAAAAAATTAGGTTTAGAAAGTGGGTGGGTGGGATTAACATTGTTGTTGTAGCAGCAGCAAGGAAGTGACAAGATATGAAGCTGGTGAAATCAGCAGCAACTGACTAGAGTAGAAACCCTGAGGAACCCAAATGCTCAGCTAAGGAATGCAAAGTTTTAATATTCTGGCAAGACTACAGAGACATTTTAAGGAGGGGAATGATAGGAGCAGATCTGTGTTTCAGAATTATTATCTCAGGATGTGAAGATGGGATTGGAGGGGCTAATCCTGAAGGCAGAGAGACCACTTGGCAGACTATACTTGGGCCCAGGCCAGAAAGGTTGACTCAGAATGAGGCCAGTAGCAGTGGAGATGGAGGTGGAGGTATACTTACAGAGTGGAGTGTGGATGGAGGCAAAAGAGTTTTTGGGAAAGAGAAATAAGTAAGCCTTAATGAGGGGATTTGGTGAGCTGGGAGAGGAATGAGTTCAGGATTTTA